AAGTTGTGATAAAAAGCAACACTAAAATGAAGAAAAATGTAAGCCATAATGTTCCCCAATTACTCCCACTCATGAACAGAGATGCCCAGTTAGTCAACCCTTAGGGGGGGACATGTCAGACTGATTAAAGTCAGGCAGCTGACATGCAAATCTGTGGTACTAATCAATTAAAACCAAAAGCCATGAATGCCATAGCCAGTGTAGAACAGAGCATTTATTATTATTATTTTTATTATTCTGTTAGCGTCACAAATTGATGTAGTCAATGGAAATTCTGTTTTTGAGGATTGGTGACAGCAACACTCCTCAAAACTCAATATTTCAATTTGATTAATTCATTTTCTCTGGATTATCAACCCTTTATGGCTTTTATTTAAAGCCAGAAAATATTTTTAAATTGTAAAAAAAATTTTTTTGAGAGAGATAATGTTTGAGTGATACAAGTTTTACTAATTAACCTATAGCTGGGGGAGAAGAGGTAGATCCATACCTTTCCCAACAGTATTTGCACATAAGTGAATATAACAAATCCAACCAGAATTGGAACTTGGCACCCTGATTAACAATTCCGAGCCATTATCCTTTACACCACCTGCACATCCAAGCTTACAGCACATGGTGAAGTGAATATAACGAACCCAACCGGAATTGGAACTTGGTTCTCTGATTAACAATTCCAAGCTATTATCTTTTACACCACTTGCAATTCTTAGCATAAATCATCTGGTATCCTTAAGTGGTCAGCCATCTAGGTACTGACAAGTCTTGACATTGCTTAACTTCAACAATTATATGGGAACTGGTGTTTCAATGTGATATGTCTATAAGCTCAAATATCCTCACAGAATAAAAAATGGCAGTTTTCTGGAGGTCTACAATCTTGGCTTCAATTCCAAATTTCTAGGTGGTGTTCCAAGTGCACCCATTACTATCAGAATTACTTTGACTGTCATGTTCCATAGTTTCTTCAAATCCCTAGCCAAATCAACTTTCTCAGTTTCTTTGGTGTTCACTCTTGTATCGTATTGAACAGAAAAATCAATAATTTGACACTTACTACTTCCCTTACCTATCATAATATGGTCGAGTTTTCATGCTTCATTGACATGGTCTGTCTGGACTAAGAAATCCCATATCATCTTGTGACCATTTTCTACCATTACGTCTAACTGGTATTCATGCTATTTATTTTTCACATTGAAGCCAAATTTATGGCATGCTTTACAATGGATTCTCTTATGAAATTGTCCTATTACAATTCTGCTTGCCACCCACCCCCCTTTCTCTCTCTTAGCACGACCGTTAGACCCCGCCAATACGTCATAAATAATGGACTATACCATTTTGATCACATGGAAAGAGGAGGAGAGAGGGGACATTACTTGGTTTCAATGAGAAAATGAAAGAAAGAAGGAAGAGAAAAAAGTAACATTTTTCAGATGCACAATGACAGAAACCTACTAAGGTAATCACCAAAAATTTATTTATCATAAATAAAATAACATCATCTGCTGAATTATTATTTTAAAAGTATTATTAAGAGAAATGTTCATAAGCTGGGAATTTGGCTAGAAAGAAAAAAGGGAAGATACAGGTGTTTTAATGTCTCCTGCCAATACCTCATAAATAATAGACTATTCCATTTTTGATTGCCAACAGAACATATCCTAGTTGGTTTCAGTGAGAAAATAAATGAAAGAAAGAAGATAGAAGTGTTTAATGGGCTGTTTCAGAGAAATGGAAAAAGTTCTCAATTTTAAATATTTTCATTTGTACCCCCTTACTTCTTGAAATAATGACCAGCATTCATATTTATGATTGTTATTGCAATATTTTCAAAAAGTTGTTAAGCTCAAATATTTAACAATGCAGTAGGGAAATTTCTATGGATATTTTATTGTTGTAAAACTTGCCATATGCTTATTCAATCATTAACTTAAAAATTAATATTCATCAGAATATTAAAATAAGGTAACCATGAAATTTTCACAGGTCTCTCTTGTTACTATTATTGTTCTCGTAGCAGCCAGATTGGATGGCATAGAAAACCCCCTCCATTTTCTCTGAAATATGGCTAAGAAATATCATCTGGGTCTTATATGCAGAGTTAAGAAATATGGTAGGTGAATATTTTTACCCAGGTGATATAGATTACCAATACATGTTGTACCTAATCTCAATCTTTAATACTGTTATATTAAATGTAAATGTTGTGGATGGAGTCAGATATGGTATGATTATTTTACTACTAATTTTTCACTATTTTATTATTGATTTTTATTATAATATTGTGGACAGATATACTCTTTGACAACCAAAACAAATGATGCAAAATCACAAATAGCTACTAATGTGATAAAAACATGCATCCTACTCCTGAAAAGCTCATGTACCATAGGCATCATCTTATCCATGTTAGTCGCAAAAGCCTGGGGGTTAAGTTGTTGTGTCATTGTTGGTATAAATGGATAGAAACATGTCTTCTGGAATAGTTACCCCGCAATAATTATTGCGAACTGGTTGTGAGTTCAAGTAAAAATGAGTAACACAAAATATAAAACAAATGATGGCTAATTCTATGTACTGATAAAATGAAATTACAATAAAAGGAAACATTTAAAGACTAGTTACATAGAAAGCATTTAAACTGAAGAATGTGCGTTTTGTGTGTGTGAAATTTGTGTAGGCCTGTGTGATAGACACATGTGTAAAAGAGTTCAAAAGTCGAGAAAGAAAAATGTACATGAGCCTAGTGGCTGCATTCCAACTGTACATAGACTACATTTTAATGCCAGAGTTGGAAAGCTGTAAAAGAGAAAAGAGGCTATGGAGATAAATGCACACCTTTTTATAGGCTTCAGGACTGCCCCCAGGGACAGTTGTTTTTTTAGTTAAGTGAGAATATCCACTAAGTGAAGTACAAATCAATAGTCTCTCTCTCTCACCTCCTCTTTCTTTCCAACATACTATTTTCCTACTTTGTAAGAGTAATTAGTCTGAAGTTATTTAAAAATGATTTTTAGTGAAATACTTTCATTATTACCATTATTTTGTTATCTCATTTATTTATTTTTTAATTCAAACAACTTTTCATCAATTTCAATGCAGTTTTCTACAAGTTAGAATTATTGTGGCTGATATGATTTTATTTCCAAGTACATTTATCTTTGATAAACATGATTTCGTGGAAATATTGAAGACATTCTCTCCTCAGACTTAAATTCCATTAACAAACAAGACTTAAAAGTATATATGGGGAATATGGATGTAATGTCTACAATCATTTTTTAAAAAAAAAAACATTTTTATCTTCAACAGACTTGAAATATCCAAGATTAAATATTTACAAATGCTGACACATTCAGATCTAATTACATTACCTGCCACTAAAAGAGGCTTTTAAAAAAATTGTTTTTTGAAGATTTGAAAATATAAAAAAAAAATAAAGAAATATTCCACTAAACTCAAAAAAATAGATTAATCGAGTATCATTATCATCAAATTTTCATACTTTCCTCTGTGGTACCTCAAATCTATGAACTTAAGCGCAGTACTAGATTGGCGGCATGATCTCATCATTTAACAGTTGAAATGGCTCATAAGTTCTGTTCTATGTAAGTTCTATGCTCTCTCACACTTCTCATGTGTGGAACTCTCTTCCAGCTTCTTGCTTCCCAGTCAACTTTGATCTTCAAAAATTTAAATGCAATATCAATCATTACATTCTGTCCTCTTAATTTCTTTTCTTTTATTGTTCTCACTCCTTAATAATATTTTTCTTGTTCTCTCACCCTCAGTAACCTCTTGTGTAGCTTTGTAGCCTTGCTTAGGGGGAAATGATTAAAAATTAGCCATTTCCTTATCAGGAAACATTTTCTTGAAGGCCATATCTGCTCAGTTTTGTATCTGAAATGTAAACAAAGCAATTTTTAAAGAATTAATGATTTTATTTTTTAATCCATTCATTCTTTAGACTATTAAAAATAACATTTGAAGTAATGAAATATGTTGTATCAAAAAATAAAATGCATTAATTTTATTATATATATATATATATATATATATATATTAAAATATGTAAAGGTTAATGCAGGGTATTTTGAACCATTTTCCATTGGAGTATATCTTGTGCATATTTTGTGTGTACAGATATATATATATATATATATATATATATTGATTTTTATGCATTCGGAAGAGGTAAGTTAGATTCATGAATAATGGATCTGTAGAAAAAGGGTGATGTAATCTCTTCCAAATACATAAAAATCAATATGTATATACAAGATATGCACATGATACACTCTAATGAAAAATTGTTCAAAATATTCTGCAGCGTCTCACTAACCTTTACATACTTTAACATCCACAATATTTTCTTACACTTATTTGAATATATATATATATATAATCATACTACTGCAAATGTTATTTTGTGGATATCCATGTTTGAGTAGACGCCCTATTTTTATTTTTTCTAGACAGTGAATTGTACCTATTGGCCTGCACATTCAAGAGACTTAAATAAGATTTACTCTTTGGCAGGGTATGAAGTTGCGCCCCTCTTTGTAGGAGAAACCACTGTATGATCTGGTATGCTTGAGATGGCTTAGCCGCAAAGAACATAGCGGATCAGAGAGTGGTTTCTCCTACAAAGAGGGACACAAGTTCATGCCCTGCCAGAGAGCACATTTTCTTTATTAAGTCTATCAAATGACTAGACCAGTAGGCATAATTCACACTGTTTAGAGAGAGAAAAAAAAAACAACAAATAGTGCATTTGTTCAAATATCCAATAAATAACATTTTAAAAAAAAAAAAATAGATAAAAAAAGTCATTGATTCCTTAGAAATATATAAATAAAATAAAAAAGAAAAAATGTTGCTAATTCTCCTTATAGAAATTTTTTTCTCCCGTTTTGTGTTATTTAAACTGAATTTTGTTTTTTCTTCAGCGCAACACCTCTGGCTGGCTTCAGCTTGAGAAGCAGTGGGTGAACATGACTTCCATTCCGCTTTTGTATGCCTACATTACAAGGTACATGGCAGGAACTGACAAACTCAGGTAAGACACACACACACACTCCCCTTCCTCCATGTCACTTTCTGTTTATAAATCTTTGCTTTTCATGGTCTGTCATTTTTTGCCTGATTTTATTTTTTTTTGTAATTATGTTCCTTAAAAATGATTAATTCCTTTGCTGATTGATATTTACTCAGTTTTTCTCTTCATCTGACACAGGATGATAATCTTGGTGCACTCAGAGAACAACAGGCTCATTGAAGTAGAAATGGGCTGTGTGATGACTTTGCTAACAAGGAGATATCCTATACAGTTTATTAAGTAACTTTATCTTCGTCTGAAACAAGACCAATGTAGTGAGATCACATGAGATATATATAAGCATATTCACATAGTAAATTGTAATGGTGAGATTAACCATTCTCTTATAAGGAAACATTTGTAGTTTTTCAGGAAAATAATTTCCCTCTGTTATAGCTCTTTCTAGTATCAATGGGACTTCCTCCCTAAGCTTTTAAGATAAGCTTATTAAAGATACTCAAAATTCAGAAAGAGTTGAAATTACTGGGATACATTATAAGGAAAGAAAGCTTGGAAAATTTAATACTGACAGGACATATTGAGGAAAGAAGGACTGGAGGGAAACAGCTAGCAACTTACGTAATGAATTTATGTGAATAGACAACAGAGCAAGGACAATGATTGATTGATTTTTTTTTATGGTTTATCAACCATTTGTGTGTTATTTAAAGCCAGCAAATATTTTTGGATATTGTCAGAATTCTTTTGGAGATAATACGTTTCTGATACATGTCCTATTATTTAACTCATAGCTGGGGAGAAAAGAAGTTGATTCATGCCTATATATGTGAATATAACAGACCCGACTGGAATTGGAACTTGGCTCCCTGATTTCTCATTCTGAGCTGTAATCCATTACACCAAGTTTAAAGCACCTGGCATTGCCAAGTGGTCACCCATCTAGATACTGACCAGATTCAATGTTGCTTAACTTTAGTAATCAAATGAGAATGAGTGTTTCAGAGTGATATGGATGTAAGCCAGCATGGACAAAGAGGGATGGTAAAGAATCAAATGTTGCTGAGAGTAAGAAAGGACAGAAAGTTGTGGTGAGCTGTGAACTGCCATCTTCTGAAGGGACACATTGCATATATGATGTCAATGAACTATTGCATTATATACAATTACTTCCTAAATTTAACTCAGTTTATATGTGTTGTAACCTAGGGAAGGTTGCTGAATAATCATACGAAGGTTGGTAAGGAACGATAATACTTAGGACAAGAACAACACATATAAGATTTGCCAGTGGCATGGAGAAGTAGTAGTCAACTGCTAGAAGTGAGTCAAGTGAATTCCACAATGAATTTCTAACTACAGATCAACATCCTGTATTTATGTGAATGGGGACATACCCATTATCATCTGTAGGTCTGCTACAACAATATGTGGCCATTGTCATGATGCACCCAGTGAGAATCAAACTCACTACATAATCAAGATGAGTTGGTTCTCCAATTCTTGGTTTTTTGGAGTAAAGCAAAAATAAAAATTCTTGTATTCATCTCTATATTTCTTTCTGTCATGATCATATAAGTATTATATTTTACTATTTATAATCCAATAAAAGATTTAATTAACACAAAACAAAATAACAACCTTAATCATGAAACAGGAATTTACAAAATAAACTGTAAAAAATGTCTGAAGAAATACATAGATAAGACATCTAGGAATTTATTTAAATTTGTTTACTATTGTTATGAGTTTAGCCCCAACACAGATGGTTGACTGTAGAGAAGATATGTTGTAGCAGCAGCTGACACGTGTCTCTACAAACCTTATGATTTAAAAAAGAAACTGTCTTTTGTACTTTTTGCCTTCACTTAATGTGTAAGGTCATCAACCCAAACAAAAAGGGGAAAATGCTCTTCTACAACCAGTCATGTAAGTAGTACTTAACCCTGCATTAGTCACATGGGGTGTTTTGCTACCTCCAAATTTTTAAAGTATTCATGATTCATAGTTGGCAACTTGTTTCTTTTGCTCTGTCCCACTACTCTCCTGACTCAGTGAAGGGATGTAGCACACTGTGTAGGGGCATTTGTAGCTCAGTTGTTATGGGAGGCAGATGTTGCTTTGCCTTCTTTGGGGTGTCCTGTCACCCTACCTGACCAAAAAAGGTAAATTTTCATGATATATAGTCATCTGCAGAGACTGTTTCACAGTTCGTCAGTGTGGCTAGACATCCAATTGCCTCAAGCCAAGATCGAAACCTGACTGATTTGGTATCAGTTAGAGAATCTATCCCTAAGCCATTGGTGCATGGCAGGGATGAAGGTGAATTTAAATGTATTTATTTTTAGATAAACATGCCAGTAACTGCGAGAACTCGATTCCTTTTAACAAAAAGTCTTGCATTAGCAGCAGTAATAATCACTGTTTACAAATTCACTTTTCCTCCCTGAGAGCTCAACTGAAATAATTTTTTTTTCCAGAGTGTGTGTATATATATATATATATATATATATATATATATATATATATATCTTTCAGTCCTGCAATTATGAGTTCAGCTAATGTAATATCTTTCTATTCATGAAAATATATTGTGGTTATTCTTATGAATAAAACTGTTCTCTGCTATTGTAATGGTGTGTTTCACCAACAATTTACAACATATGATTATGCAGCAAATTTATGATAATTTTCGTTTCAATGAATAATTATATCTTCAGTTCACATTTTAATTTAATGTATATTGCAACAAAGATCACCTGTTATTTTATTTTTTTTCACCAGTACAACAATATTTTACATAATTGTAACACTGTAAGCATTTTTGTATTGGAGATGTGAACTCCCCAGAGGTCAATTCATTTTTGGAAATCTGAGGTAACTAACACAGTGTTAAAGATTGCAGTTTCAAAGTAAAAGAAATTTATTAAGGTAAAAATGAATTGAAATTGAACTAATTTTGGAATCTTCCATGGTAAATTTATATCTCAGATCATGCAACATATAGTCTTTCCTCACAAAGCTGACACTATCACAATGTGATATATTTAAAATCAATGGCAATAAAAAGCTAAATGAAATTGTCTTGTTTGTGTATATAGATACATCAAACACCAAAAATTAATATCTTTGTACTTCAGTATTTTGCAATGTAAAACTAACTGGCATCTGTTATATTTCTCCTTCCCTAGCCAAGACTCCACTGATAAATGCATTACTAGTCTGAAGTCTTTTGAAGGATGAAATGCATTGTATAGAGTTTTTCCTCATTTTGTTTATATATGTATCTAGGCATACATACATAAATACACACACACACTCACAAAGGTGTGCTGATAAATGCATAGCCCAACCAAGAACCCCTTTCAAAGACTTATTTGGTTAGATTTTGGGAAGTGGATCATGCCAAAAACTTTTCCGCATCCCGTTGTATATAATCCATGGAATGATGATAACTTCTGGCTTTCTGTTAAAAGTAAACTAAAAACTTGCTTCCATTTTTTTTTTTCTGTTTGGCCATTAATCATTGAAGGAACATGAGATTTCTGTGAAAGGAATATCAATGACTTACTACGAACTATCACTTTTTTTAATGTTTTACTGTAGAACAAACATTTCATTCTGCTCACAGAATGTATGACTTTCTAAAAACAAAACAAAAAATGGTCACTGTATCATTGAACTCTCAAAACAGTTATATATCTTCACAGTTAAAATATTCATATATTGATACGGGAGAATACAAAAAACACATCTAAACTCATTATAGCTAAGTGGTTATGTTTTTGATATTTTTTGTTTTAATCATTCAGTTACTTTAATATAATTAATAATAATTAATTTAATTTGATTTTTCATAGAATTTGTCTTGACAGCCTAAACTTCCAGCAAATAAATTTTTGATTCATATTCTTAAATATCTTTGTTAGATTGAGACTTTTATATGTATATCATGCATGATGTCAAACCCATTCAGAAATAACTAAACTGTCAGCTGTATAGAACCGTTTCCTAAGATCAATGGTGAAAAAAGGCTTTGAGTAAAGCCTGAGGGTCTTGACAATGGTCATACTACTTTGAATGTTGTAGACTGGCTCTACAGAATGACAAACAAAAAACTATCAAATGATATAAACTACATCACTTGAGGACTAGCAACAGCAGCAACAACTAAAATGGATAGCACATGTAACTCGAAGAGAAAATGACATTAACATTCCACACCACTTCAAATAAAAGGTTCAAAAGTAAACACCCATCAATACTGGTTAAGAACAATAAAAAATATTGGACTTGAGAAACCAGTTTTCCTAAAAATGTATTTTAAAAGAACGATCTTATAAATTTCAACTGAAAACAGTACTGGCTGCTCGGTCAATGAATGCCAAATGTTTCCCCTTTTAGGGAAACTGTTAATATTGCCATTACAATCACCCCCTCCCATTTTTAGAAATAAGTATAAATTACCTACCTTAAAAAATGTAAGGGAGATAACTTCTTTCACCACGATATTGTTTTATTCAGATTTTTTTTTTTATTACTCTAACTGCAATGTCTCAGCGGTTTTACACAATGAGCTTAAAAGAGAACAACTTTAAGTTGAAAAATAAAAGAAAAACTATTAAGATAAAACTGTCAACAGCAAATGTAGCATATTTATCTGGCAGTTGAAAACACAAATGCCCAGCTTAAAGGGCTGTCTCAGGAAGATACAGTAGTGCATATGATTTAAGTAAAAAAAAAAGGAAAACAAGCAGAAACAATCAAAAAGAAAAGGCAAACAACTTAAATCTCCTGTTGCATATCTTGTTCAACATATGCAAATTCTTGAAACATCAGGGTAAAATAATTGCTTCAGTGTATTGCAGAGTTGAAAAGACAAAGCGAAATATACAGTACAGACAAGCTTCTCATCAGTGGACTAATAGAGGGGATGGGTGGTCTGTTAAAGCCGATTGTCCATAGATAGGAAGGGATTATTTTTGAGTTTTAAAATCACTATA